ATACTCCAACAAATTTGAAAACCTAGAGGAAATGGATAAATTTCTAGAAACACACGGCCTACCCAAACTACAACAAAGTGATGTTGAAAATCGGAACAGACCCATAAAAAGAGAAGAGATTGAAAAGGTAATAAAAAAAACTCCCAAACGAAAAAGGCCAGGGCCCAGATGGCTTCACTGGAGAATTCTACAAAACATTTACAGAAGAGCTTGTATCACTTCTACTCAATCTATTTCAGAGCATAGAAAAGGAAGCAAAACTTCCAAATTCATTCCATGAAGCCAGCATAAGGCTGATACAAAAACCAGGCAGACATCACAAAAAAAGAAAATCACATACCAGTATCTCTCATGAATACAGATGCAAAAATTCTGAACAGAATTCTAGCCAATAGAATTCAGCATCATATCAAAAAATAATACACCACAACCAAATAGGATTCATACCAGGTATGCAAAGATGCTTCAACATTAGAAAATCAATCAACGTAATCCACCACATAAATGAAAGGAAAGAAAAGAATCACATGATCATCTCAATTTACATAGAAGAAGCATCTGACAAAGTCCAACACCCATTCCTGATAAAAACTCAATAAAATACGTACAGAAGGGAAATTTCTCAACATAATAAAGGGCGTCTATGCAAAACCAATGGCCAACATCATTCTTAATGGAGAGAGGCTGAAAACATTCCCCTTGAAAATAGGGACAAGACAAGGATGCCCTTTATCACCACTCCTATTTAACACTGTGACGGAAGTTCTAGCTAGAGCAATAAGGCAAGAAAAAGAAATAAAGGGCATCCAAATTGGTAATGAAGAAGTGAAACTGTCCCTGTGTGCAGATGATATGATACTATACACAGAAAAGCCTAAAGACTCCACAAGAAATCTACTGGAACTAATAAAAACATTCAGCAGAGTAGAAGGATACAAGATAAGCATTCAAAAATCAGTTGCATTCCTATACATCAATAAGGAGAACAATGAAAAGGAAATCAGGAAAACAGTACCATTTATAATAGCCCCTAAAAGGCTAAAATACTTAGGAATAAATCGAACCAGGGATGTAAAAGACCTATACAAAGAAAACTACAAAACACTACTGCAAGAAACCCAAAACATAAACGGAAAAACATACCATGCTCATGGATAGGTAGACTCAACATTGTGAAAATGACAATTCTACCCAAAACACTTTACAAATACAATGCAATCCCGATCCAAATACCAACAACATTCTTCAAAGAGATGGAAAAACTAATCATTAATTTTACGTGCAAAGTGAAGAAGCCCCGAATAAGTAAAGCACTACTGAACAAGAAGAATAAAGTTGGAGGACTCACACTACCTGACTTCAGAACCTATTATACAGATACAGTAACCAAAACAGCCTGGTACTGGTACAACGACAGATACACTGCCCAATGGAACAGAACTGAGAACCCAGATGTAAATCCATCCACCTACGGTCACCTGATCTTCGACAAGGGCCCAAAGTCCATCAAATGGGGAAAAGACAGTCTTTTTAAC